AATCCAGTGTGAGACCTGTAATGAAGACTGCTCACTGCTGCTCTTTGTGCAGGGTGACTGATCTTGTCTCCGCCCCCTCCTGTAATAAGGAACGCTCACTGCTGCTCTTTGTGCAGGGTGACTGGTATTGTCTCCGCCCCCCTCCTGTAGTTAATTGCAGGCAGACTGCAGTAGGTGGAGCTTCCTGTGATAAAGGCTGCTCACTGCTGCTTGCCCGCTTTTGTGCAGGGTGACTGGTCTTGCCTCCACCCCCTCCTGTAGTTTCCTCTAGTGGGTGGAGCCTGCTGGGTCCCTCCCACAGCTCTGCTCTCTGCACATGATATGTACAGCTCAGTGATGATGTCGCTGATACTTTTATAAGGTAATAGCTGGGCTTTGGTGCACACAAAGTGGATTTATATACTTTGTAGCTATTGAGGGAAATATTTAAAGGAAGGTTTTCATAGCCGGAATTATCGGGAAGGACAATGACCCGGAGATATTTAATGACCTTCCATTAGATGACCATTAAAGATATTTGATCTGAATTAATCACACAAACAGTTGATGTTCTTGGCAGGCGCAGCGCTCGGCAGAGGAGGAGGAGCAGCAACGTAGGAAACAACTGTGCCGGGAGATCCTGGAGCTGCGTTCGGAGCTGCAGCACCTACAGGAACAGATCCAGAGCGCCGAGGAGGAGATCGGCAGCCAAGGTGGGACAAGTGCCGCCAGAATACCGGTGGATACAAGAAGAAGTATAATTAGATATTGTGTTTTGATTTGTTGTAAAAGACGTCTGCGGGCTCCTGGCGGTTCTGGAATGCTGCATGCCTTTAGAGAGGGGGGTGGGCAATTTTTTTTTCAAGGGGCCACATGAGAACCCCCTGGCTGCAGTGCGATCGACCACACTGCATCTTTTTTCATTCGCAACGCACGGTATTGCGTTACCGCACAGTCGATCTCATTGCAGGTGGGAGGTGCGTTTGGGGTGCCATTTAAATGAATGGCAATGTAACACACCTGCCGCACTGTTCATGTACAGTAGGTGCAGGGGCGTAACTAGAAATCACAGGGCCCCATAGCAAAATTTTGTATGGGGCCCCGTGATTTCTATTTACCCCATTGCAGAACCCACTTGAGATCCCACGCAGCTCGCCTGAGGGTGACCCTGCAGAGCCCACCATAGACTCTCTATGGTGGGCTCTGCAGGGTCACCCTCAGGTGGGTACAACTATGAATCAGGGCCTTGTTATTATAAAAAAGTCTTTGTACTGGCAATTCCATTCGAATTTGGTTGTGTAGGAGCTAAATCTGGTCACCTGTTTTTTTGGCTATGAACAGAATATGGCTAAATGTCTCTTTTTTTGTATTTCTTTTCATAAGAAACAATAATACATTTGCCTGCACTGCATACTTCCCCTGTTGTGCTATGCCCCCTAATTCACCCAGGCCACCCTCTTCCCTATTCATGCCATTCCATACAAGGCTACACCCTCTTTACCTGCCAAACACAAAAATGGTTAGCATTTCTCTATAGGTGTTATATAAGTGAGTGTTACATAACATTTAGTTATTCTATTTACAGAATAAAGGAGGGTGTTCGTCAGGGGCGTAACTAGAAATCACAGGGCCCCATAGCAAAATTTTGTATGGGGCCCCGTGATTTCTAGTTATACCCCTTGCAGAGCCCACTCGAGATCCCACCTGAGGGTGAAACTGCCGAGCCCACCATAGACTCTCTATGGTGGGCTCTGCAGGGTCACCCTCAGGTGGGCTGGTCGCACTTCTTACCTGTCCGCCTCCTCTTCCTGCACGATCGCTGATGGGCCCGGCCTCCTCCGTCACTGGGCCCCTCCTCTGCTGCCGACCACGGGCCCCGCCTCCTCCACGGCCGGGTCCAGCCTGCTCTACCGGCTCTCATTGACGCCGCCAGTGAAAGCCACCAGCATAAGATGCCATAGCGACCCAGGAGGCCCGCACGGCATCTGGCCGGCCCCATAGCGTCCGCCTGGGTCGCTATGGCGATTGTTACGCCACTGAGTAGGTGCATTGCATGGTACTTTACACGCTTGAGGTGCAGGAGAGGATGGAGGAGGACGGGGTAAAGCTGGGGGCGGGAAGAATTTGTCACTGGTTGTTAGGACCGCCTCACTCAGCAGTCCTAGCAACCAATGACTGCAGACAGGAGAACCCCCAAAGTCATTGGTTGCGAGAACCGCCCTCTGGTCCTTGCAATCAATGACTGCAGAGGAGGATGTTATGTCATTGGATGCCAGATGTCCTAGCAACCCTAAGGACTGAAGAAGAACGTAGTCCGGGCACGGGCCGATCGCCACCCTGTGTTGGGCTGTGGCTTGAAGTGGATGCACAGTCCTTGGAGGCTGGAGCATCCACTGTCAGCTAGCCATAAATGAGCGCAGGTTGGCGATCGGCCCGTGTGTGGACTGCGGGACAGGGTGCATTAGACCAAGGGTCGGATGCAAGGCGTAAAATGCTCGGGTCTGCTTTAGACTATTGTTGGGTCATTGATTTCAAGGAGGTTTTTGGATCTTTGTGACCAGTCACAAGGTGAGAGGCTGCAGCAGGGGCTGACATTTGTGAACACAGCCAAGAACTGCACAGCCACCAGGATTAACATGATTGTGTCCTCTCTGAGCCGACAATGCAATCCAGGAAGTAGATGGTGACCCTGGAGGACGCCTTAACAAAGATGGCGCCGTCCTGCTGGAGAGGAGAGCAGATGAAGGCATTGTCAGGGGGAGTCATGTGATCTCTATGAGAAGGAATAAATATCCTAACATATATCTGACATTGGGTTGAATTGATCCTGCTGTTCAGTGGAAAGGAATCTCGGAACAACACTGAAACCCTCCCCCAGAGATAAGTGGTGATTATGGATAATTGATCCATAGATAAGTGGTGATAATGGATCCGTACTCCATTCGTAACTGTGAATTGCGAGATGCGTTTGCTACCTTCTATTCATCTTCGTGGTCTTCTATCTGTCGCTGGCGGTCACCGGTGTGGTCACAAGGTGATGTCTATGTTGTTTCCCCGGCAGAACTGAACGGCGAGAAGTCTCAGGATTACCGCCGGCGCGCTCTCCTGCTCCGAGCCTTCAAGAAGAAGAAAGAGGTGGAGTGCGAGGCGATGCGCGAAAGCAACGCAAAGATACAATACCGCTGCGAGCAACTGCAGGACGTCAGCCGGTGCGATTTCTTCTTTTCGTGTCCTCGCGCAATGTGGAGTGCGATTGGTCGTCGGTGAATGTCGGTATTTGTAACATTTGTGTTGGTTTTTTTTTTTCTTCCTGCAGTGAATCTCAGAGGGAAATAATATTTCCTTTGTTGGAGAGCGGCTCTGCCAGCAGCGCCTTGTCGGAGCCCGAAGTCATGGTAGGTGACGCCTCGCTTCTTCCCTGTCTGAACTTTGCCCTCTGCATGTCATGGTTAAAGGGCTCTCTAGTTGTACAAGACCCCGCCACCTGAGGCCCCGCCCTACTACAAAAAAAAAAATATATATATATATGTGTGTGTATGTATGTGTGTGTATGTATGTATATATATATATATATATATCTATCTCTC